TAGACATTTTTTAAAAATATACGTATTTTATTTTTTCAAACGGCCTATTTATTTACGTGCATACAGATTTGTATGTCGTCCTATGTACCGTGCTGTGCTGTTGCTAGCGTATTGCACAAGTACGTTGCTGAATGATCACATCGGAACTCGAGCAAAATGCAACTCCCGACTATCGCAAAACGTACATCGAGGATGTTTGATGCCTGCGCACGCGACAACATGAGCGTCCGTCGTCAACATTCGCCTCCGAGTAAGCATTTACACTATGAGACAGTCTCCTTTAACCAGTGGCAAAATATAGTAATAGGTTTTTACCCTTTCCACTGGCACAAAAACTGACACCTTTATACAAGGCATCGTGTTTGCAATAACCACAACACAAGCAATCAAAATGCAAACAAAAAGAAACAACTCTGATTATGATGATAATGATATGCAGTTTTTGTACCAGTTGAAAGGGTAAAAACCTATTATGATTTGCCTCTGAGTTGTGCACCAGATCTACCCCTGGGGCCGCCGATCTCGAGGTGACGTCACCTCTAGACCAGAGTCGCCTCCGCCGCTGCTGCTGCTGCCGCTGAACAGAATAACACAAAGTGCGATGCGTTTTAATTGTGTAACCTGTGAGCCCCTTATCAGTGCACTGCCTTGTTACTGACCAATTTAGACCTTATTGGTGACCCCGTGCCCCGCATAAATCTCAACGTTCATCTTACGAAGTCATCATCGTAAGGGAGAAATACAAACGAATAGACAATCACCACTACACGCATCGCTAGTAAGTACACTCACCACTACACTCACCACTACACTCACTACTACACTCACCACGTGTACACTCACCACCACTACACTCACCACTACACTCACCACTACACTCACCACTACACTCACCACGTGTACACTCACCACTACACTCACCACTACTACACTCACCACTACTACACTCATCACTACACTCACTACTACACTCATCGCTAGCAAGTACACTCACCACTACACTCACCACTACACTCACTACTACACTCACGAGGTGTACACTCACCACTACACTCACCACTACACTCACCACTACACTCACCACGTGTACACTCACCACTACACTCACCACTACACTCACCACCACCACACTCACCACTACACTCACCACTACACTCACTACTACACTCACCACTACACTCACCACTACACTCACGACGTGTACACTCACCACTACACTCACCACTACACTCACTACTACACTCACTACTACACTCACCACTACACTCATCGCTAGCAAGTACACTCACCACTACACTCACCACTACACTCACCACTACACTCACCACTACATACCTGTCAACCCCTTATCAGTGCCCTACCTTATTACAGACAAATTCAGACCTTATTGCTCACCCCGTCCCCCTTATAAACCTCAACGTTCATCCTACAAATTCACCATCACAAGGACAGAAACACAAAGACACAATTTTTTGTTGATGCCCCTATTGAAACGGCTGTACGCCGTATGTACCTGCAAACTCAATTTCCCTGTACAAGAATACGGGGTATGAACCGTATGGGTTGGCAGGTATGTAATCAGAACACAATACTTCGTCAAAACGACGCCTTATGTACATTTCAACGCGTCGAGTGTTGAACGTTGTGGTTGTTAAAGGGCACACTTCGTTGAGTTTGCACGAGCGGTGTCGATGTTGTTTAGTCGTCACGGCGAGAGAAGGGTTTGTGTGGTGGTTGATGAGTGTGCGAGTTGATTATTGGGGAGCGGTGGTGTAGCGGTTAGCGCTACGAACCCATAACGTGTCATCCCACAACGGTTTACCCCGTATTCTTGTGCAGGGAAATTGAGTTTGCAGGTCCATACGGCGCACAGCCGTTTCAATGCGGGCAACAGCCAAACAATTCTTCTTGGTTCTTTCGGTAAAGTCACGTAGAAGGGAAATAATAAAATAATAAATAATAAAACATAATGAAATTATTCTCACAACGTTTCGGCCACAACGCAAGCAGCCGTCCTCAGGTGAAGACCAGGTCATTCAGACGCTATCTCCTCGACAGACCTGTTCTTCACCTGAGGACGGCTGCTTGCGTTGTGGCCGAAACGTCGTGAGAATTATTTAATGTTTTATTTTTATTATTTTATTATTTCCCTTCCACGTGACTTTACCGAACGAACCAAGAAGATGAATCCCTGCAGTCACGAAAGCTTTCAATCGAAAGAGAATTGTTTTATTATGTTTTATTTTTATTATTTTATTATTTCCCTTCTACGTGACTTTACCGAAAGAACCAAGAAGATGAATCCCTGCAGTCACGAAAGCTTTAAATCGAAATTTAATTATGTTTTATTTTTATTATTTTATTATTTCCCTTCTACGTGACTTTACCGAAAGAACCAACAAGATGAATCCCTGCAGTCACGAAAGCTTTAAATCGAAATTTTATAATGTTTTATTTTTATTATTTTATTATTTCCCTTGTACCTGACTTTACCGAAAGAACCAAGAAGATGAATCCCTGCAGTCACGAAAGCTTTCAATCGAAAGAGAATTGCTTTATTATGTTTTATTTTTATTATTTTATTATTTCCCTTCTACGTGACTTTACCGAAAGAACCAAGAAGATGAATCCCTGCAGTCACGAAAGCTTTAAATCGAAATTTTATTATGTTTTATTTTTATTATTTTATTATTTCCCTTCTACGTGACTTTACCGAAAGAACCAACAAGATGAATCCCTGCAGTCACGAAAGCTTTAAATCGAAATTTTATAATGTTTTATTTTTATTATTTTATTATTTCCCTTCTACGTGACTTTACCGAAAGAACCAAGAAGATGAATCTCTGCAGTCACGAAAGCTTTAAATCGAAACCAAACAATGGTCTATTTGTTTGTGTTTCTCCCTTGTGGTGGTGACTTTGTAGGATGAACGTTGAGATTTCTAAAGGGCCCAGGGTGGCCAATGAGGTCTGAATTTGTCTGATAAGGGGTTGATAGGTTTGCGAACCTGGCGACCCGGGTTCGATTCCCGCTCACGGCCAACACCAAGTGACGATTATTTGAACCGGTCACTGGGCCTCAAATGAGTAACTGGGTGCGGTGCGTAAACATCGCCACGAGAGAGACAAAGGCGGCCGGGCGTGGTTGCTGGCCGCCCACCCCCTCGTGTACCGTGCCGGCCTTCATAGGTGCTGCTACTCGCTAACTGCACTTGCCCTACAGTCTGTTAGAGGCTATTCGGTGATGGGGTCTTTGTCTTTTCTTTTAGATAATTAGGCAGATGCTGAATGTGGCCGGGCGAGTTGTGTAATAGCGCGCAGCTTGTACGAGGCATAAAGGGCCGTCCATAAATGACGTCACGCACCTAGGGGGGGGCGGGGGCCAGACATTTGTGACGATGTGTGACGAGGGGGGGGGGGTTTCAGAAATGTGACGTCACATCAAAATGTGCAACTTTAAATAAATATAGACAACACTTTCTGCTTAATTAAATCGACTTTTTAATAAATGTTTTCTCCTACAACATCAGAGTGCAGCGGCACATTCAATGCGCACTACAATGACAATAGTTTAAAGCGATTTGAAGCAT